TCTTTGTTACTCGCCAAGGTTCTCGAGCAGAAGGATATCCTATTTAGGCAACAGGTACGCTCTTCCGTGAAAGATTTACGTCCAAATAATTGATTTATTATATTCACTTTGGAGGATTCATATTTTTTTTTTTTTTTTTTTTTTTAACCAGGGAAATAGAAATTTGTTTCAACGAGTATTACAATCAGTGTATTCTACTTTGGATATTTTTTTACATTTTTGTTACGTGCATTCTTTACATTTTTTTTTACAAATAAAAACGTTCATTTCCATTTCTTAGGAAACAATGGAGAAAATTGAAGATGCATTTTTTAATTTAAAAATACATTCCGCCAAAGGTTTTCAAATCTTTTATTTTAAATACTATAAATCCCTGTCTATCACGAATTAATAAATATAAATTATATTGGACACGACTCAACAAATTAGACTAATTAATGCTTACTTAAAAAACTTAAAAGAAAATCGCGAGGCAAAAGGAATTTAATACGATGAACAGTTAAATTTCTTTCCCTTGCGAGAGAATATCTTTCCTTTTGAAATCTAGTTCAATGAAATATACGGCTTATGTTCGCCACTATGAATCACGTCTGGCGAACGTTATTAGGTTCGTTGTTTCACGTTTGTTCGTGGATACATCAAAAAGCGAACGAGTCGAAAACGCGCAACACGCACCGCGTTATTTCAAACAGCTTACGAGAAATTATTATGCTCAGCATTCGCCCATTATTTCATGGTTGTTTGACGTTCGCAATGAAAATCTACAAAGCGCGTGCAAATGTCATCATTCTATTTATTACGCGTGAATGAATCCCTACTTCTGCGCGAATAAAGCGAAACTTTTGTTTAAATGACAATTAGAATCGCGCCGTTCTCGCTACAATTCGTCCCTATTTGTTCTCCGTAAATAAATAGATCTTCCATATTGTTTCATCGTACGAATAAACTTCGCACGGTATTTAAAAAGAAAAAAAAGAAAACACAGGTATTAAAGTAAATATGCCGACTCGTGAAAATATTTAGCCACTTATTCTACATCTATAGTTCATATTTGGAAATTTCATTAGCAGTGTTGTTACACTAAACACGACTGTCACGGTATGTTAGTCAAATTTGAAGCGAATATGATGAAAATACCTATATCGGATTGACGCATGAGAAATCTTTTCTAAATATAATTTAATCCTAATGTTCTAAAGATCTTTCTGTTATTTTTATATGATTCCATACATTTCTTCCCCATAAAAATTTGAAAATTAAAAAATTCTTTCCGTTTTCCATTTATAGTCTCTTTTTTAATTAATTTGTGCATCGACAATGGAAAGTATGTATGTGTGTCTCCAATATTCAAGACTTCTGATTATTCGTTTTTACTATATTTTTACTGTAAATTTCGTCATCCTCAATGTGTTTGATAATTGATGAAACTGAAATTTTTATATACGAAAACTTAATTGTGACGAATATCTTGAAGTACTTGCTACGAAACTATCAAAAATGTCATTCTATTTTTACAGACTTACACGGACGAAGACCACGGGATCGCTCAGTCGCGAGCTCATCTCTACCACTCGTTGGAAAATTTCTTGGACGAATGTTACGAAGCCTCATGATCGCAGCGTGGAGGAAAACCGACAATCTAGATCCTTCGCGTCACCTGCCTCACATTCCACTTGTAAATACCTTGCCATTTGTACATACTCGATGTACAATAATGTAATATGAAGCGTTAGTGTAAATAACTGAGGACGAGGAATCATGAAACACGCTCGATTCAAACGGAATCGTGGCCAAAAGGACGTTCTATAATTTCTATATCGTGGCTGGTGATGAAGGAATTTTGGAAGGACATACACAGTCGCGAACATAACAATTAATTAATATACCTTATACACTTGCAAATCGTTTGAATCGAGCGTGAACGACTGATTGTTAAGAAAATTTAGACTCGATCAGAAAAATTTTTTTAATCTATTTTTTTGGAGAGACTATTACAATCGTTCATCGAAGGCCTAACGGACTCGAGAGTAAAACAAATTTCTAGCCCCTTTACGAATAAATGAACTAACGTGTATGAGCTAAACAGCGCTGCATCTCGTGAAACATCCTCGTAAAACGTAAGTTTCGCGAAACGAACCGAATGTAACGCGTCGCA